TGCCAACACCCTTCCCTTTGCCCACAGTGGTCCCCCTCCCCCCCAGAGAAAACCCAGGAGTTGCAGAGGGAGAGTCCAGTCTCGTACGCAGCTGATCGATATGCCATCGAAGGACACGACCGTTGTCCAGGGAAACCTCGTAGGACAATGGACCAGTGACCTTGCATACTACTGCCAGAACCCACAGGTGACCGGGCCCATAGTTCCAGGTCCAAACCGGGGCACCCACTTGCAGACATCTTGGTGCCCTTGGTTGGGCAACCCGAGTAGCCACCCTGTCCGGATGCAGCCTGTCAAGTTTGGTGATCAGTCTGCGCCCCCAGCGAAGTTCTGCCGGGCTCTTCCCAGTGGAAGTAGAAGGTGTGGTACAGTAAGCAAGAAGAAAATCTGCCAACCTGTGGTGCCAGTCCCCATAAGTCAGTTTCTTGAAAACATCCTTGGTGATGTGAACCATCATTCAGCCATACCGTTGGTGGAAGGGTGGAATGGTGCCGAAGTTGCATGACGAATCATGTTGGCCTGCAAAAAAGCCTGAAACTCAGAAGAAGTGAATTGAGGACCATTGTCAGAAACCAGAACATCTGGAAGGCCATGTGCAGCAAAAATCCCTCTCAGTACTTGAATGGTCTTGGCAGTAGTAGTGGAAGAGACAGGAACAACCTCAAGCCACTTTGAATGGCTGTCTACAAGGACCATGAAGAATTGTCCCTGAAAGGGCCCAGCGTAATCCACATGCACCCTTGACCAAGATGACTGTGTCTCCTCCATCTATGCACAGGAGCCTGAGTCATTTCAGGGCGTGAACGCTGGCACAAATGGCATTCATGCACTTGGGCCTCTATTTCCCTGTCTCATCCCGGCCACCATAAATGGCTGCGCACAAGCGCTTTCATCCTGACAATGCCAGGATGACCCTCATGGAGGGAAGCTAAGACTCTAGGTCTCAATGAGGTAGGAATAACTACTCTGCTGCCCCACAACAGGCAACCCTGAAAAATGGATAACTCATGCTTCTTGAGCCAGAAGCTCTGGAACTCAATACCTGGACAACTCTCAGGCCATCCCTACAAAACCCATGACAGCACACCAGTACGTGTGAGATCTGTGGCTGATTCAGCAGCCACATCCCTGGCTTTTAGGGGAGACTCAGGCAACGCCTGAATGGAGAGAATATTGATGGCAGGGGCAGGGTCAGCCTCTACCATTTGCAGAGGTAATCTACTTTGGCCATCACCGTGGCCTATTTCTTTGCCAGGTTTGTGAATCAATGAAAAATCATAGGCTGACAAAAAGAAAGACCATCTCAGCATTCTAGGAGAGATGATATGGGGAGTTTGTTTGTTAGTGGTAAACAACTCTAACAGAGGCTTTTGGTCAGTATTGACCGTGAAATGTCTGCCATATAGAAAATCATGCAATTTTTTAATTCCAGCGACAATGGCCAAGGCTTCTCTATCTATCTGAGCGTAGTTTCGCTCAGCAGAGGACAAAGTTCTGGAGTAATATGCAACAGGAACCTGAGTTCCATCAGTTTTTAAGTGGCTAAGTACAGTCCCCACCCCATAAGGGGAAGCATCACAAGCGATGCAGACAGGAAGGATTTCATTAAAATGTGCAAGCACATCATTTGATGTAAGTAAGGCCTTGATCTCATTGAAACTTTCTTCATGTACTTGGGACCACTGCCACACTGCCTGCTTGTCTAAAAGCCTATGAAGTGGTTCTGCTACATTAGCCTTGTTAGGTAGGAAAGCATTGTAAAAATTCAAGAGGCCTAGGAATGCTTGTAACTCAGCTTTAGACTTAGGCCTAGGAGCCTGCTGTATGGCTTTTAATTTAGACTTAGCAGGGTGAATACCCCTGGCATCTATTCTGAATCCCAGGAAATCTGTAGAAGTAACTCCTATCTTGCATTTATCTTTTTTAAGTTTTACCTGTTTTTCTGAAGCGAAGCAAAACAGCTCTTAACCTCTCAGCTAAATTCTGAGTGGATTCTCCAGCAATAAGGACATCATCAAAATAGGGGCAAACCCCTGGGATACCTCTCAGGGTGTTTTACATAACACTTTGGAAAATTCCAGGAGCTACATTTACTCCAAATTGTAGTTTCTTGACTTTGAATGCCCCTCTATGGTTTACAATAGTCTGTGCTTCAGCAGCAGCTTCATCAACAGGTAACTGTTGATAAGCCTGTGCCAGATCTAACTTTGCAAAAACATGCCCCCCTTTGAGGGAAGCCAAAATATGGCTGACTACAGGTACAGGATACGCATGCTGTTGCAATGCCTTGTTTAATGTGCATTTGTAATCTGCACAGATGCGAATGTCCCCATTAGCCTTGAGAGGCGTAACTATGGGGGTTTCCCATGGACTTGAATCAATAGGTTCTAAAATACCTTGTTGGATCAATTTATCCAGCATCAATTTTCCCTTTAAGAGCAAAGCGTACTCTCCTTGCTTTCACCCTAATGGGAGAGACAGTGGGGTCAAGTTTCAAAGAAACTGGGGGGCCTTTGTAAGATCCAAGCTGTGGACTGAATACATCTGCAAACTCTTTGCAGACCTCTGCTAGGCCTAATGTTTGCAAATTGTGTAGCCCTGTAACTTGGATTCCCAAGGCCTCAAACCAATAGAGTCCAATAAGACTCGTTCGTTCACCCCCAACTACCAATACATCCAATAGACCTTCAAAATCCTTGTACTGTACTGTAAGGGTGGCCTCCCCCTTTACACACACTTTGGAATTTTGAAAATCTGTTAAGATTATATTGGGTGGCCTAAGTTTGGCCTGGAACTGTTGCTATTGCAAATCTTCCTGAAAGTGTGGATAAAATGATTGAAAGAGCAGACCCCATGTCCAGCTCCATAACCAATGGAACTCCTTGCAACCTCACCTTAAGTGACAGTTTCTTTGTAAGTGGCTTATGTGTGCCTGTTCTATAAATACTTCTGCATGATGCACAGAAACCCACCCTGTTTTGGCTGGGGACCCTGGTATCTTTCAGACGCAATTCTTCTCGAGGTTGTGCCTTCTGATGGCCCAGACAAACAGATGCTATGTGGCCTTGCCTGCCACATGCTCTACAGATTGCAGAATGGAACCTGCAGTTGGCCCTCTTGTGGCGACCTCCACACCCGAAGCACTTGGACACAGCTGGAGCTTTTTCTTTGCTTTCCTTCTGCTTCCTTTCTTTGGACGGGTAGAGATGATCCACCTCATCTTCAGGATCTTCCTCCGAGCTCTCTTGGACTCCCTCATGGTGCACAGAAACTGCTTCTGAGTTGTTCCTGATGGGCCTCATATTCTTGACCACCCCACCTGCTGCCTCCTCTGCAGTGAGCTCTCTCAAGGCATCTTGGAAGGAAATATCTTCTTTTCCAAAGAGTTTCTGTTGCAAATCTCTGTTCCTTAGCCTGCATACAAAATGGTCTCTCAACCTTCTAAATCTTTAAAGTCACAGGGCTTAGCTACTCTTCTCAACGCTGCAATTTATTCTTTGGCTGATTCACCAGCTCTTTGATCCCTCTGTTCAAACGTGTGTCTCCATGCAATAACAAACAACTTAGGCTGGAAATGTTCCTTCAATAACTTCTTTAAGTCTGTATAAGTGACAGACTCAAGAGGAGCAGGGGCTGCCAAATTTTCTGCAATTTCAAATGCATCTTGACTACAGACACAAAGCATGTAGCGGCCTTCAAGCCATCTTCTGTAACTTGATTCACTCTAAAGTAATTTTCTACTCTAGTGACATAATTCTCCCATTTTTCTGGGTGAGTAACGTTGAATTCAGACAATATCCCTATCTTCGCCATCCTTGCTTCTTATTCTAGGAAGGGGTCTATCAGCCAGCTTATCTCCAGCGACGCTGTACTGGCAGGCCAGATGCTGAGTTTAACACCTTCTTCCTCTCTCCAGGACTCTTGGGTAAGCCTTACAAGTCTTCTTTCTTTATCTTGTGAGCGATCCCATCCTCGTCACCAGTGTTGAGTCCTCGAGTCAACGGTGAAAGAAGAGCACACATTCTGATGGTTCTAACAGCTTTTATTCTCTTCAGCTCTCTCCGACACAACTCAGAGGCTCTCAGACCTCTCTGCCTCCTTTAATAGAATCCCCGGGCAAAAAGGTAACAAATTGGCGCGCTTCAGCACCTTGCGCATGCGCGCAGGCTGGCACCACTCAGTCTGGTTACGGGCAGCTTGCAATAGCCCGGGACCATTGCAACATCCCGAGCCTGCTTTTGCAGGTTCAGGACACAACAATCACCATCTGAACTTTTATTGACTACCACAGACAGAATGTTTGTGCAACCTTTTTATCTGAACTGATGAAGTTTGCAGTGAGATGCAAATATGTGCCAGCATCTATTTGAATAAGTGACATTGCACCATGAAATTATTCCTTGCATAATAACATATATTTTCCCATTCAGTTACACAATACATACTTTGCCCTTTCAAAACCTACAGATTTCAGCTTTTCTGTGCGTGCATAAATGTTTGTATAAAACTGAATTTTCCTTTGAAAAATGTGTAGAATATTACCTTAATATGTAAGGGATCTAAGGGCCTGGCCTATTGGTTTATCAAATTATTAGAGGCCTTTGCAAGTGAGTCATGAATTTATTTCAATTGGAGCTAAATTCCATGTTAATTACTCTATTTTTGCCTTTGCTGAAATTATAGTAGCAGTCATTCAGCACTGTCTTTGCTATCTGTTAGCAAAGAGGTAAGGGGCCTGATTGCAAATGCTTCTTATATAAGAAGTTTGCAAAATGTGGCTGAAAAATTATTCAGGTGGGCCTCTTACTAAAACAAGGAAAGGTGGCATTTAGCTTAAGCTGCTGTCAAGAATTTCCAGGAAAAATCCAGAGTTAGAAAATTAACTATTAGCATGTTAAAAAACACATCGAGAGTTGTTGTTTATGAAGTGATTGTGCAATATAGGTTTGCTTTCTGATGTCAGTGTTTAACTATTAACAGTCTAGAGTTCAAACCCTTCAAAAAAAAAGGACCACTCCCCATGCATTTTTCCATAATGAACAGATAAAAACCTGCTTCTAAATTTCAGAAGTGTCGTTTTCCTTCTGCTCTGTTCGGTGCTTTATTTCTGAAAGAGATATTCAATAATCAGCAAGAAAGAACCATAAAGGTAATTCTTAAATATTTGTTCCTAGCATTAGGACAGATTATAGTAGTTTATTAGAAAATGTTTGATTAAGATGTTAAATTAATAATTTTAAGCTTTGTTTTAAAGTAGTTCTGTGACATTTTACTGCTAACAGGTATAGCACATACATTATTTCGTTTTTTAAAAGCAGTCACATAGATGCAATGATCAGAAAATTCATACATTTGTTTAGGATTAAACCAGTTTGATTTCATATATTAACCAGAATATTAAACTGATCAGAGCTATTAAAATGTATGATTAAAGAGACATGCATATAGCCATCTAATAAAATCATTAGTCTGGAATTAGCTATGCTAATACATGTTCAATTCCTAATCCTTCATTCTTTCCTCTAGCCAACAATAAAATAAGTCTCATGTTTGATAATAGTCTGTATCTTCTTTATCTTTCAACCTCATAGTTAATCTGTCCATCTCTGCACACTCCAATATTTTCCTGATTATTTCTTCTTCTGATGGCAATCCTTCATTCTTCCAGTATTATGCAAAAATTATTCTCACTGCTGCTGTGATGATGTGTAAGATTAAATATAATTTCTGCTTATTAGTCTTTTCAGGCATAATACCTAGTAAAAAAAGTTCAGGTTTAAATTCAACTTCTTCACCCAATATTTTTTCTAACCAGATATGTATCTTTCTCCAATAGGCCTTAGCCTTGCCAAATGTCCAGCAAATGTGATAGTATGTGCCTATGTTATGTTTACATTTCCAACATCTATCTGACATATTTTTAAACATTTTTGCTAATCTTGCTGGTGGCAGGTACCATCTGTAAAACATTTTATACAGATTTTCTTTATATGAAGTTGACATTGTTAGTTTGTAGTTTCTCTCCCATAACAGTTGCCATTTTTCTAATTCTATATTATAGCCAAAGTTTTTCACCCATCTTATCACTGTTTCTTTCACTTGTTCACTTTCCATATCCAAAATTAACAAAAAGTTATACATTTTCTTAATTAGTTTCTCATCTGAGGTTAACAAAATCTTATCAAACACAGTTTGATCCTTATAAAATCCATACATTTTTACATCTTTTTCATATCTACTTTGTATCTGTAAATGTGCCCACCAAGACAGGTTAACTCTCTGATTTTCCAGTTCTTGTTTAGATTTTAATTTCCCATCAATATTTAGAATATCTCTATATGTCCATATTTTTCAAAGTCTACCAAGTTCGGATGTATAAATGCCTCCATCGTTGATAACCACCCTGGAATTTTTAGATATATTTTAGCTTTATTTTTTTCCCTATATTGTTGACAAGGCATTTCTTATAAAATGATTTTGAAAGTACTTATGGACTCTGTTTTTCCCATATGATAAGAAAGCGTGCCACAGATGAGAAGGTTAAGGAATCTATAAAATTGCTTAAATCACAATTTAATATGTTGATGGCTGATCAAACTGCAACTAATTTATTGTATATGAAACAAAATACATTTTGTAATGCTAATAAACCAGGGAGATGGTTGGCTTACCAATTGAGAAAGAAGCAGAGACAGAGAACTATAGATAAAATAAATTATAATGGTAAATTGGTATATCAGAAGGAGTTGATTAAGAAATCCTTTTTAGATTATTATCAAAAATTATATATGAGTTCTAAAGTACAGGTTTCAGATATAGATAATTATTTAAATGAAGCTAACTTTCCTAAATTAACAGAAGATCAGAAACAAGAAATTAATGGTTTGATTACTAGTGAGGAAATTGAGACAGTAATTAAAGAATTAAAATTAGGTAAAGCACCGGGTACGGACGGTTTGACATCTATTTATTACAAAACCTTGGTACAAGAGATGATTCAACCTTTATGTGAGCTTTTTAATAATATATTACAGGGTTCAGAGATTCCCCCGTCATGGGGTAGAGCTTTTATATCTTTGATTCCAAAAGAAGAGCAAGATCTTACTTTACCAAAGAATTATAGACCTATATCTCTTTTAAATGTAGACTACAAGATTTTTTCAAAAATTTTAGCTAACAGGCTTATGAGGGTTTTGTATCATGTAATACATACGGATCAAACGGGTTTTATAACTGGAAGGTACATGAAGAATAATGTTAGACAAATTATTAACTTATTAGAATATTTAGATAAAAACAATCAAGTTTCTGCAGGATTGATATTTTTAGATGCTGAAAAAGCTTTTGACCAGTTAAATTGGCAATTTATGTTAAGATTAATTGAGAAAATGAACTTTGGAGAAAAAATTTTACAAGCTCTTGGTGTTATTTATCAAAAGCAAACGGCACAACTTATAGTTAATGGGGATTTGTCAGAGGTGTTTACAATAGAGAAGGGGACTAGGCAGGGTTGTTCATTGTCACCATTGCTGTTTGTCTTAACTTTGGAAATATTGCTGATTAAAATTTGAGAATCACAGCAAATAAAAGGAATAGAAGTTAATAAAAAAGAATATAAATTAAGGGCTTTCGCAGATGACTTGGTGGTTACTTTATCTCAACCTACTTATTCTGTAATAGAGTTATTACGATTGATACATCAGTATGGACAAGTTTCGGGTTTTAAAATTAATAACAATAAGACTAAAATATTGCCCAAAAATATGACTAATTTGGTTAAGTTGACAGATTTTGAGGTTGTCAACAAGGTAAAATATTTGGGGGTTATTTTATCTGTTTCTAATGCAAAATTGTATAAAAATAATTATGAAAGGCTGTGGGTCAATATACAAAGAGATTTGGAAAATTGGGAGAAGTTGCAATTATCTCTTTTGGGAAGAATTGCGGCGATTAAAATGAATGTTTTGCCAAAGTTTCTTTTTTTATTTCAAATGATACCTATTTTAAAGAATGAGGTTAATTTAAATGAATGGCAGAAAGGTATTAACAAATTTATCTGGGCAGGGAAAAAACCAAGAGTAAAACTTAAAATTATACAAGATATTCGTGAGAGAGGTGGACTCAAGGTACCGAATTTGAAATTGTATTATGATGCTGTGGTTTTAACATTAATAAGTGATTGGGTTAATTTAACAAATGTAGAAATACTCCTCTTGGAGGGTTGGGATTTACTTTTTGGATGGCATGCCTATCTAATTTTTAATAAAAAGGTTGATAGGGTTTTTAAATCTCATATTTTAAGGATCTCCTTACTTCGGGTTTGGAGGAAATATTATAGAAGTGATTTTAAAATTCCACTATGGGCTATACCGGGGCATGCGATAGAAGGGATAAGGAGAGGAGTTAAGATGGATAGTGTTTCTTATGTACAACTGCTTAGATGGGATGGTAAAAACCGGCAATTAAAATCTTTGGAAGATTTAATACAAGAAAATATTATTTACTCATGGTTTTATTATAGACAAATAGTGGAGAGGTGGAAGATAGATCGTAATGTGGGTTTGCTTAGAGAAGATGAGAATTTATTAAAACAAATAAAAGATCAAAGACGAACCCATATTAAGAGAATCTATGGGGTGTTAGTAGAATTGGATTCAGAAGCAGAGTTAGTCAAAGAATGTATGGTCAAATGGGCACAAAATTTTGATGAACCGGTTTTATTAGATACCTGGGAAATTATTTGGGTGAGGAATGTTAAATTTACACAAGCCCAAAACTTAAGGGAAAATTTTTATAAAATGTTTTATAGATGGCACCTTGATCCACAAAAAATGTCTCGTATGTATCCTGACTTACAGCCTAAATGTTGGAGATGTGGATGTTCGGATGCTACTTATTATCATATCTGGTGGTCATGTAAAAATATAAAAGCTTTTTGGATTAAGATATGGTGGAATATCCAAAGAATTTTTAGAAGAAGGGTAAAATTTACCCCACAATTGTTTTTGTTAGGTATTGTTTCTGATTGTGATACTAAAGAGATTATATTGATGTTAAATTTAATTACAGCGGCAAGGTTGCTAGTAGGGCAATATTGGAAGAAGGAATCTTTGCCTACCTTGCAAGAGTGGTTTTTTAAAGTTTCTTATTTGGCGGAAATGGCAAAGATTTTGGCTTTCTTAAAACACCAACCGCAAGAGAAGTATTTTTTGGTATGGAAAAAATGGATAGATTTTATACAACATAAGTTGGATATAAAAAAATATTATTTAGCTTTTCAATAACTTATATTTAAAATTTAAGATATTTTATAGACTTTATAGATTTTCCTTTTCTTTTTTCCTTTTTTTTCTTTTCCTTTCTTCCTATTTTTTTGTATTTCCTTGTATTTTTGTCTTTATATATATATATATTATTGTTAACTATTTCATAATTTGTTTAATTAATCTATTTAGACTTGTTAATGGTTTATATCTGTTTTAAGATTTTTTGAAAAATTTTAATTAAGCCTGTATTCAGCTCTGGGAAGGTCGGGGGAGGATATGGGAGGGTTGGGGGGGTTCGCGGAAGGGAATTGTATTGTTTTGTAAAATCTAAAAATTTTCAATAAAAAAGAAAGAAAGCGTGCCACCCCAATTGTAAATCATGTCCCTCTAGATACAACAACCTTTTATTTATGTTATCCACTCTTTCACCCATGTTAACACTGATGCTTGGTATACAACGTCCATTCCGGCAACCCAAAGCCTCCATTTTCCTTAGCATCTTGTAATGTTTTCATCTTAATTCTAGCTTTCTTCCCCTGCCAAATAAAGTTCAAAATTAATGAATTTAAATCTTGAAAGAATTTTCTTTCAAGTTTTATCGGAATCATTTGAAATAGAAATAAAATCTTTGGCAACACATTCATTTTTACTGTAGCAATAGTTAACTCAAAAGAAACGATCTTATAATAAACAAAATATATTTTAATGAGAAAGATTACTTGCGTTCACGTTGAGATTGGTGCTGCTGGAAATACATGTTTGTTCATCTTTTAGATCTTTCCTTTAGGTAAGAATATATTGCTCTTCACACCATCTTTATGTTTATACGGAGACCTTCCATGGCCCATGCTTCTTACAGACAAAGAGATTCCCATGTGGCTTG